CAACCACACATACAGAACATCCTCGATTCAACCACACACACAAACATACCCAATTCAACCACACACACAAACATACCCAATTCAACCACACACACAAACATACCCAATTCAACCACACACATAAAACATCCTCAATTCAACCACACACACAAACATACCCAATTCAACCACACACACACATACCCAATTCAACCACACACACAAACATACCCAATTCCGAAGCATAGGATGGTGACACGGAGAGTGGCACTGATAGCCGCAGGGGTGAGCGCAGCACATTGTGGGTGTGGACCCATTGGGTGGAGTAGTGCGTTGTCTGTGGTTTGGGCTGTCCGTTGTTTTCTAGCGGTGCACGCACCAGTTCAGTGGCCTCGAGTGATACTTTAACCTGGACCACAGCAGTGAACGAGAGCATGAATGAAAGCCAGAGAGCGATAGATTACTATAACTGTACGTGGTAATGCTTCTAGAGTGCGATTAGATTAGTATGAATGTATGTGATAGTGCTTTTAGTCTCGTGAAACTTGCAGATCCAGCCCTTGCCTGGCAATGATTACATCGGTATTCCCAGCTCCGCATCTAGTGCCATATCTACCATAGCGGTCGCACAGGGATGCAGGTACTCTATAACACAGTTTCACACAAACAATCATTAAACGGATATCAATTAAGATAGATAAATGGATCCCGCCATTATACGGAAAATAACTAATGATACCTGCCGTCATACAGATATCAATAAAATTTAAATACCACTACAAAGATATTGATATATGATACCTACCATAATATGAATGTTAATAAATCACTCATACCATTATAAGGATATTAATATATGATACATACCATTTTAGTATATGATATCTACAATAAAACGGATGTTAATAAATCACACATACCAACGGATATCAATATATGATACTTACCATAATGGATGTTAATAAATCAAACATACCATTATACGGATATAATTATATGATACCTACCATAATATGGATGCTAATAAATCACACATACCATTATACGGATATCATTATATGACACCTACCATATTATTGATGCTAATAAATAACACATACCATTATACGGATATTAATGATTGATACCATGATACAGATATTAATAAATGATATATACCACTATACGGATATGATTGCATGAAACCTACCATTATTCATATATTTATTATACGGATATGAATGCATGAAATCTACGATTATATAAATGATATATACCATTACCCAGACATTAATGAACAGACAGCAATACGTATTCAGCACCAGCAGCTTCCGTACGCACAGTCAAGCAATCATAGGTGAAATAAAATACAAACCACGCGCATATACCAATTATTCGATTACAACTAGCAGTATATTAGTGCATTTAACAATCATACGACCATACACACTATCACCAAAAGTAGCAGACATGCCATATTCACACTACCATTAGAAGTAGCCAGAAATATCACATACGTATACACACACTATAATAAAAAGTAACCAGACATACCATATACACACTATCATCAGAAGTAGCCAGACATATCACATACGTACACACACACTATCATTAGAAGTAGCCAGACCTACCATATACACACTATCATCAGAAGTAGCCAGACATATCACATACGTACACACACACTATCATTAACGTACACACACTATCATTAAAAGTAGCTAGACATACCATACATACACTATCATCAGAAGTAGCCAGAAATATCACATGCGTACACAAACACTATCAATAAAAAGTAACCAGACATACCATATACACACTATTATCAGAAGTAGCCAGACATATCACATACGTACACACACACTATCATTAAATGTAATCACATATACCATATGCACACTATCATCAGAAGTAGCCAGATATATCACATACGTACACACACACTATCATTAATAGTAGCCAGACCTACCATATACACACTATCATCAGAAGTAGCCAGACATATCACATACGTAAACACACACTATCATCAGAAATAGCCAGACATACCATATACATACATACATACTATCATCAAAAGCAGCCAGACATACCATATATGTAGACAGCGTGGCGTCGCTGAAGTCAAACTCGCCCGTCACCTCCTCTCCGATACAGTAGCTTGGTTTGAACAGCGTGAAAACCCCCACGCGCGAGTCACTGCCGCCTATTCTGTATCGCCTTGTGCGCCTTTCGCTCGACACATATGCGTGCAAGCGTTGCAGCGTGTGCTTAAGCCACCGCACGTTCTCCTTCTCTACCCACAGCCCTACGCTCACATCTCCCGTGTGTGATACGCACGTGATGGTGTCGGTGTGCAAGTGCGTCTGGGTGCACGTGGGTGGGGGTGGGTGTGTGCTGGTGTGTGTTAGTGGTGGTGTTCGCCTCTCACTTTGGCCTGTAGTACTATCTTGCATGGCCACATCCACACGCGCCCCTCCGCTCAATGCTGTATTGCTCTTCCATATAATCCCATCGCCTTCAGCAAGTGCACCGTTCGTGCTGGTCCCACAATCCCGCTTGCCGTCGCGGTTTAAATTATGTTCATCCCGGTTTAGTTCATACCCACGTGCTTCCTCAGCCGAGGCTATGGCCCCCGCACCGCTGTCCGCCCCATCCACGCCGTCGTCATCCTCCACAGTCTGCTGTGCCAGCTGCTGCTGCTGCTGCATGTACGCTAGGTCTCTCGCCCTAAGCCTGCTCTTGGCGCGGGTGATGACCTTCTGGAAGATCCCCTCGGTATCGTCAAACGATCCAATGCCTGCCACGTGCTCACTCAGCATGTCGAGTGCAGGTATCACGTCCATCCATACCTGTTGGTCGTCTTGCGACATGTCTAAGCCCGTCTCTAGCCTATCCCTCTCGTCGTCACTGCTACACCAACCCTCCCCCACAGCGCTGGTGTGCCGGCCGTTCTGCTGTGTGGGTGGGCCCTCCTTCCCATCGACTAGGGTGGCTGCCTTATCACCCCCTGGACTAGTACCACCCCCTCTCGTATACACTTTCGTGTTTAGCGCGTACAGGTGGCTGTGGGTGGATGGGATCTGTGAGAGCCCAAACTGCCGCACCCACTCTCGCACCCTCTCGGGCAGCACAAACACGCGCACAGGCACTATGAGCTGGGCGGTGGTGCCGTTCATGCGTTGAAAGGACACGGCCACTCTGTGTTGTACCCGCACCGCCACACCCGAGTTAGATGCACAGGTATTCATGGGGATCTGTGCTACATAGCAATACGTCCCACTGCTGGAAGACGGGCTTAAGCTAACGTCGCAGCAGAGGATGGCCTGTGGCAGAGTGTATGGTGCACTTAGGGCTACCGTGTGTGCGCCAGACTGGGTCTGTGCGTGGAGGCGGGTGCCCATGTGTGCTTCTCGTATGGCGAGCGACGTTTGGGATTGTAGTTTGTGTTTGTGTGAGTTGGTGGTGATTGAGCTGGTGGATGTGGTGTTTAACTTCGAGGATTGAGATGAAGACGATGGTTTGTATGCATGCGAAGCCGCATCTACGTTTACATAGCGCTTTGCCAACGACTGCACACAGTACAGTTGTGCACTTGCCCATAGAATGGTTTCATCGCGTTCAACATGGGTGTTCTTGAAGGAGATGTGTAAGCATATCCGTTCCCCGGCGAAGTAGGCTTGTCGCCCACCCTGCAAGACTGCGTGGGCTTCTATCATTGTGTGTAACTTTGGACAGGTACAATGTGCAGATGTGTGTATAAGCCTCTAATCCTGACGTGTGCATGTATTAAGAAGGTATGGAGGCAGCTTTGCCCAACTAGGTCTTTTCTATACTCTATAATATATATGTATATATATATATATATATACTTATTTATCTAAACCATTGCACATATACGTGGCACCTGAAAGACATTATCGTGAACAGCTTGTTAAAGGACCAAACACGCTTTGACGCTTTCTCACCAGAATCTCATAGCAGATGCCGTATTTACAATTTTTTCCAAGGTATATTTAGAGTGCAACCCTACTCTAGGGTTAAACATGATATTTTTTTATAAATATGTGTGGAGGCGCACAAAACCAAGAACCGGGGTCTTCCGGTGAAACTTCACAGCATCATAAATTGTTTTTTTGACCCTACCGAATTTTCCTAAATCTGAGGGGTGCTCTCCAAATTCTGAGATATAAATAGCCAAAAATGAATACATATTTAGCCTTCTAAATTTGTACAAGTTTTTATTAGGCTCAATATGTATGTTTTTTATTTTGTTAAAAATATTGTTTTTGGTGTTGTTTTGGTTTTGGTTTTGGATATTTTACAAAAAGAAACAAAAAAAAAGCTACAAACTAACATTCAACAGCTGTTAATTTATCATAGCCTTCTTCTTTGTGTATTTTAATACACTGTGTACGGTTGATTTAACCTAAAAATGTAAACACATTATAAATATTGCACACAGTTGTATTTACACGATTAACTTTGAACACGACACACACCAGCTATACTCAACAGTCATCAGACGTGACAAGCATAGGCATGTCCGCCCCACGCACGCGCAAGTTTGAGCAGAACTCAGAGAAGTTTGTAGAAGTATCAGAAAGGGAGGTCCCTATCATTGAGAAGGCCAGAAAGGGGGGCAAAATACAGGTCATATGGGTGAACAATGATGACAACAACACAGGGTACTGTATTGAGCCTGCTTCCATAGTGGCTGATGGATGGGACCACATAGTTGACGATGATGGTACAGGCTGCATTCAAATAGAGGTATGAAAGTTAAGTATCAAATGGTGCTGTCCGTCAATACAATCACCTGCAATGTAGTGTTTTATCTCGATTGTTACAGCTTTGCAGCCTGCAGGGAAATATATCTGAAGTAATAGTATACTTTTTTCTCTTGATATGTAGTCTTGTCATAGTTCTGAAATGGAAATCGGGTCGTGACTGTGAGTGCAGAATCGCGTTGTCTACTATCGGATATTTGTACCCTACATCCAAGCGAACTATCATCATTTCGGTACCCTGTCAATAAGGATTGGTTATAATATCGATCGGGCACCGGCATGGACGTGTAATAGTGTTCGTGTTCACTTCGCAGCGTACGTCTTTGAGTAACTATGTGCGCGTGCCATATGCGAACTTGCGCGTGGGCACAATGCGATTCTTCAAATATGAAGGGACGTGTGAGGAACCAAAGACACCTTCCAGCTGAGTTACTAATACAAGCTGAAAGAGGTGTGTCCGAATTTACACGGTCAACACTGATTTGTATAGTCGGAATGATATGTGGTATCGATCTCCTATGTGTACTATGTGACATCGACCCAGCACAAATGCTATGCTCAGGGGGAGTCCGAGTTGTACGGGAAGCATTCTTTTGACTATTGACATCGCCATTCGAGTGAACTTTGATACTGTGTCGCCACTCGGTGTGAATGCCCGCTGATCAGGATTACAGAATATAGATGGATCGTGTATTTTGCAGATACATGGCTTCAGTGTTGAGCTAGATGTGATGTTCAATCATACGTTTTCTCACACAAACACACACCGTCATGTATATACCGCACATCAGGTGCAGTAAATTTGCTTGCAGTTGAACGCACTGATTTCGGAATCTCAGATACTTATTCTCCAACTCAGCAACATTCATATCTTAGTAAATGTTTTCCTATTGGGCTGCAGTAGCTACTGCCCCTTGATTCAGGATTGCTCGCACTGACATCAGGAATATTCGTACTCCGAGTGCATGATGCCCATGATGAACAGTCGCAGCCATTTTCTAGATTCTCTCCATCATGTAGTTAACGTATCTGCTCTCGGACCGTGTCTTTTTAGGTAGTCAATTGTATATACACATATTCTCGTACATGTGCCAACTTCACATACATATAATGTAATGTTTGACTTGACAAAATACGCTACCACATGAAGTGATGTGCTGACATCCATTCTGCTCATTCTAGATCGTTCGGCACAAGAAGCTGCTAGAGACCATCAAGGCCAACAACCTTGTGAAATACCCAGCAACCCTTGTAGCGGCCATGGGCATAGAGATGGACGTCTACGCCCAGCCGTACCAAGCAGACGAGGTCAACAGAGGACGGAACAACCAAATTGCGTCGCGCCTGACAACGGATTTAAAGAAGGGGTTTGAACCACATCGAGTGGTGGGAAAGGCTTTGTTCGTGCGCACTTGTCAGGGGAAGCCAGTGTCCCTCACCGCGTGTAACTTCGTGCGTGCTTGCTGCTTTTTGGATGATGTACGTGCCGTGTATAAAGACGATAAGGGGCCTATGGACCCCGCTTTACTTAAGAAGGCGTTCGAGTACTACAACCCGTTTCTAAACGATACCATGCTGCGAGATGGATGGAACCTCAACGGACGCGCTGTGGCCAAAGAAGGCACGAGCGAGGGCCTCCAGAGGGTCAACAACTACGATCTCATGTGACTGTGCGGTGTGTGTATACGAAGGATTACACCCTACACGCCCGTCATATACAAATTGCTCTCTACATCATACGTGCATGGGCGCGTTGTCATACATTTGCCATCTAGATACAAACGTATGCAATCCACACACCCTGCAACGGAACCAGTCCAGGCTCGGTCTAGAGTGTGCAATAAAATGATCGGCCGTTGAGCCACAAACCAATAGCGATGGCGTGATCATACGCAAATCGATTGACCATACCCGGTACAACTGCCTTTGCGCTTCTGCTGTTCTTGCAGCGCATGGGGATTCGCTAGTTTGCTTGGTGTGTACGCTATATGTCCCCTGGAGGGTCCCCCACTTATTGTACCACACAGTCACACTATTTGTAGTTGTACGTAGGGATGCTTCCTTGGCAACCTTGAGATATATCGCCCGGGTCGGCTTTATGGACAGGCAATGCTTGGGGGTGACATCCATTACACACTCGCATGCTAGCTAGTTGAATTTATGTCACAACAGTGTGCTTTTTGTCACTACAGTGTGCATCTACTATAATAGAAGTGTGGACACTGGCCTACATAGTATATAAACCACGAATGTCTTCCTCAGAAAAGTGCTCCAATTTCAATAACAAATGTGTATCTTTGTACTACCCGTGAGCATCCCTTGTTTTGCATCTGCGTGCCCTTTCATCTGCTGCTCTAACTATGTTCAATCCCGAGTGTGTGAACCAATGAGCTTGCAAACAGTGCATCTCCTAGCAAACACGCACGTATATTTGTGACGTTATTGCGCTCAGTGATGAAGGTACCATGACAACCATTGCTATCGCCAGAGTGCAGAGTATGCATGAGCCACTGAAGGAGAGTTCAGCGACTTCTCGGCCGCTAAATGTAACTGCGTGCAACTGTGTAGTTTGTTTCATATATCACTCGCATGTGTTGGTTGTTGTGTGACCTGAAAATGTGTACCTTGCGTGTATGGCGAGTGTCGTGTATGCTTCGTGTGTGCTTCGTGTGTTACGTGTGTTCCGTAGATCCTGTGTTATGAGTTGCATGTATCATGCTCATGTTACTTGCATTGTGCCTTGCGTGTATCTCGTGTGCCGTATATGTTGTGATTGCTCTGTGTGTGTTAAGTTTGTTCCGTAGATCCTGTGTTATGAGTTGCATGTATCATGCTCATGTTGCGTGCAGTCTGCCTTGTGTGTATTTTCGTATACGCTGTGTTTTCGTATGTGTTGCGTGTGTTGCGTAGGTCTTGTGAGCTGCATATATTATGCACATACTACGCGTAATGCGTGCCTTGTTTGTATTGCATGTGTCGTGTGTGTTGTGTGTTGCGTGTGTTTCGTAGGTTCTATGTTATGATATGCATGTCATGTTGAGTGCAATGTGTCTTGTGTGTATTGCGTGTGTCGTGTGTGTTGTGTGTGCTGTGCGTGTTTCGTGTGTTGTGTGTGCTGTGCGTGTTTCGTGTGTGTTGTGTGTTGCGTGCGTTTCGTAGGTTCTGTGTTATGAGTTGCATGTATTCGACTCATGTTAGGTGCAATGTGTCTTGTGTGTATTGCGTGTGTCGTGTGTGCTCGTTTCGTGTGTTTTTCGTGTGTGTTGTATGTGCCTGTGTTTTATACACATGTGACGTACAATGTGTGTTTTTCGTGTACAATGTGTGTCGTGCATGCTATTTGCGTTTCGAGTGTGTTGCATGTATAGTGTGTGTATCGAGTTTGTTCTTGAAGCACGTGTATGTTTCTTAAAACGTGTGCGTTAAGAGCTTCGCGTGTATTGAACAGATTGTGTGAATATCAAATACGCACAGTACATGTACAATGTGTGTATGCTGCGTGCAATGGGTTTGTCGCTTATGTTATGATTATAGTGTGTAGTGCAGGTACAGGTGGCGTGTGCAACTATCAGGTACCTAATGTATACAAAGAGTGTGCCGTGCGCAACCAAGTTGCCAGCAACGGGTGTGATGTGTATGTCGCGTGACCTATATGTATGGTTTGCACTACTTCTACTAATGTGTGCCTGTGCTTTGTGATACGTGTGTGGTGTGTACTACGTGTAGAATCCGTTGTAGTTTCGCGTATAGTGCATACGCTTGTATGTCTGTATATGGTTTGCGCTATGTCTACTGAGTGTTAGTCTGTATTTTGTGTGGCGTGTGTGATATGTACTTTGTGTAGAATCCGTTGTAATTTCGCGTATGTTGTATACTATACACTTATATATCGTGTGTGTTGCGTGTACTGCACATATCGCGTGAATTGTGTCTTAACTGTGTTTATGCTGCACTAATTGCGCGCATTGTGTGTTTTCGATTTTGAACCAAGTTGCGTGTTGTGAGCCTTGTATAAGGTGAGTGTGTATGCACACGGCAAGCTGTGGGCGCCATGTGCTTGGTACGTAAACTATAACCATCCAAGCGTAAACTATAACCATACTTGCGTGTGCTTGGTATGTGAATTATAATCATACTTGCGAGTGCTTGGTTTGTAAATTATAACCACACTTGCGTGTGCTTGGTATGTGAATTATAACCTCACTTGCGTGTGCTTGGTATATAAATTATAACCACAATTACGTGTGCTTGGTATGTGAATTATAACCACAATTACGTGTGCTTGGTATGTAAATTATAACCACACTTGCAAGTGCTTGGTAGGTGAATTATTATCACACTTGCGTGTGCATTGCGGTCAGAAGGGAACGCAGATCCAAACACTACAGCCTGAAACATCTCCCAGCCCAGTCAGTGAAGCACACTAGAAATCACACAAACAAAATAGAGTTGCGTTTTAATAGATCTGCCAGTCTACCTGCCCTCTGCGGATTTGTCGGCTCGCAATAGTCTGCGTAGAATCCCTTGAGTCTATCGTTGTCGAGTGTGTTCTTTAAATGTCCATATGATAGCATGATACTGCTATAGCCTTGCTTACATGGCTAAGTATGGCGTAGACAGACAGCGCTTCAGAGTTCTTAAAAAGATGCAGCTAACGCACACCAGATTGTACGTCGACATAAGTCTGCGACACTCGAGCGTATGCACGCAGAACGGTCGTGCATGCGTAACCAGGCAACGCCACGCACGCATACATGTGTGTCTTGTCTCGCTACATCTGGCGTGCTCACGCGACGCACACACGTCCTACTGTGCATGTACTACATATGGATGTCCTGTGCGCTACGATCGTGCTAACGAGTGTCATCTGGGTGTGTGCCAGTGCCCGGGGTACGCTATACTTCCACGCCCCCCTCTCAGTCGGGAAGCAACTGCCTCAGTATGAAACAATCTCGTTTTTACTATATATCTGGGATAGCACTATTAGTGGTATCGATTCGTCCATCCCTGCGTGAGTGTGCACGGAGATTGTCTTTTTGTTTGTAGTTGTATCAGTTGGTGCTACCGAGTAGTACTTGGAATAGACTACGTACTACCACCCCTGTACTCACGGGCCCACTATGTCCATCGCCAGTTTTGTAGAGCGGTCAGCGAGTGGCTGGTCAAACCCACTTCCTCAAGTGACCTCTACATTCTATGCAAAGAAGTCACTCACAGTCATTTCACCACAGAACATCGACTACTGCCGACCGTCCCCACTGCCCAGTACCACCTCGTGAATGACCGACCACAAAGACGTGTCCGCTACATCTCTCCTTCGGCCGGCAACGGGCCTGACGAATTTTCCGGACCAATGAATGCCTTTTCTCTGTAGGGTTTTGCACCGAGCGCTCAGGCTGAGATGCTTGTAGCTCTCTTCCCTGTATATGGTGTCTACCAATTTGCTTATATTCTCATCTACATAAGGACCCACTCCGAATTTGTCCACTTTAGGTGGTCCGTCAGGCTCAGACATTCCATCGGCAGTAGCCGTCCAATCAATCACATGAGGGTGGGGCAAATGCCACAGATACGGGTTACAATGTCTTGTAGTGTTAAGATGCGCGTGTTTGTAATGTCTGAGTGCATGCTGGATCATCCAGTCCTCGTCGCCGTAGGTCTTCTTCTCAGCCCCGGGGAACTTGTTGCCTAGCACCCTCCGTATGTCAGCAGCATACGCAGCAAACATACCTGCACCCCCAGACCGCCACAGGCCATCTTTCCAGTCGCTCGCGTTGTTGACACTATAGCACACAGGCACATACCCCAGATGTAGCTTAGTGCTCTGCACCAGATCGTCGAGGAATCCGGGGAAAAGAGCCATATCTGTGTCCACGACAAACAACAAACTCTCGTCTTCGCTGGTGGTCAGTAGCTTTGCGTCGTCTCGCAGAATACCTTGCATGGCCCCAGCACGCGAGAATGTGCCAGGAAGGGACTGTATATGGTGACTTCCACCTTTTTCTCGCCACTCTAACAGTGCCTCTGCTGCGGTCATGCCCACCACCACATCGTCGTAATCAGCAACAGCCATGCACACACAGTGTATGTTTGTTAGCGTCGATTGTGCTGCATCGATTGCGAGCGTATGTGCCAGACGCTTGAGATTCATCCCTCGGTTTCTGTATGGCACAACCATGTACACATACGTGTGGAGCTCGCACTTGTCAAAGTTGCACACATTTGAATCGCTCGTTGTCACCGCTATCTGTGTAAGTTCGTCTTGCGTGCTAGTGCTGTCACCAACCGTTATACCTTCTCGTACCAATTCTGATTTCTCAGTACTATCTGCTGAGCCTATATCCTCCGCCGTGCTGCCAGAGTTCTCATCCGAACCTGTTTGGGTGTCTGTCGACGAAATCTTATCCGCGTTCGCAACTGTGATTTTCTTCGCAATCACGTGGTCAACCTGTGAATCTAGATTAGCTTGGGACACCTGAGGTTTATAATTTGGATCATGCATTACCTCCACTACCCACGCCATATAACCACTACCAACGACATCTACAAAAGCACCAAATGCACCCTGCGTATCCTGTCTGTTGTCTACAGGTTGCTTGACAGATGCAGATTCACCCTCATTCTCATGGTGTTTGTCGTTTGTGCTATTATTACGTTCGTGCTGCTCCATATAACTCTGAATTTTCGGTTTATTGATCTTAACTATCACTAGTATGAGAAGTAAGGTGGAAATTATGATAATCCGTGGTATCCACAATCTGTTCGTGACCCTCGACATGGCGAGTTATGACAGCCTGGCTATATATGTACAGAAACAAAAGCTCCCCTTTCACTGGTTCAGAAGAGTCAGATTTCTTCAGCAGCAGCCCTCTGCTACTAAATTTGATCACCTGCTGAACAGTGAGCACCTGATATTATGTGAATCGACAAGGTACTCTGTCGAGTATTTGAACACGCGCGATACCTATGCACACGCCTATATACAGTAAAACGCTTATTAATGACTGAAGTATGATTCATACAGACATAGTGAATTCTGTCCGTACATACATGGTAAATAATGTGTAATAAATATGTATGCCGACTTCTAAAGTTCTACTCAGTGTCACGCACCACTTCTAATTCGAGCAACCACTAATATTATTGGTTGATGTAAGAAAATCAGCCGAAGCTGAATGAAATTAGAGGAATTAAACTTTATTACTGGTTTTGATCCAATCATAACAGCTCATAAAGTCGAGCATAAATAAAACTGACAACTCTACTCGCTCGCGAGGGTCTTGACTATTGGTGTAATTGCTGGTTGCAGCATAGTACTCACTCTCTCTCTAGTAGCTGCAGTAGTTGTGAATTTGCGAAGTGAGAAGTTGTGCCTCCCTCGAACCCCCCCCCCTCCCTCTCTCTCTATGTATTTAGCAGTATGTATATAGAGGCTCGCACTCACAATGACTCATCATGATACTTGAGTTTGAGAGTTTTTTGTTACTATTGACACTTGTCACTGTTGCAGTGTTGGCACTCTTGGCAATGTTGACTGTTGCGCCTCTGTCCCCTCGGGCCCTCATCAAGGCTCAGACTTCTCACTTCAGACTCATCAGAGGCTCGGACTTCGGAGTAGAGTCAGACTGAGTCAGACTACTAAATATTTCACCAGCTAGTAACTGAATAGAGGACCTGTCCCTGAGTTGAGAGTAGGGGAGATGGGGAATATATTTTTAATGAGATGAGTCAGATGTAAGATGTGAGATCATTGTCAGATGTGAGATGTGAGATGTGAGATGTGAGATTCAGATTTCAGATTCTTTGCGCCATAGCAATCTTGCCTATGGCTGTTCTCAGTCCTGTCCCACCTATGAATCTTGGTCGATCCTTCGCAATCCACAACACCCACGGGATCTCACTAATCACTATGTATTTACCTTGTCAGATTGACCCCTGACCGTCTCCGACCCCGCTATCGAGCCCGGAATCTGGTCGGGTAGAATTCTTATATTTAACACCCGATATGGAATCTCTAGCCTCCTATTAACCTTATCGGAATAACTCCTGACCGTCCCAGACCTCGCTTTCCAAGCACTGGCTTGCTCTCGCTCCCATACTTCACGAGATAATGAATTAAGACATAAATGTAGATACAATGTACAGCTTGCGCTCAATATCACAGTCCGTGATCTGGTCGTGTAGAATTCCTATAACACCGACATAAAATCTATAGCTTCCTAATCCCTATTATATTTCTTAATACATTGTCTGTTACCATAGACTGTAAATTCATCTATATAAATATAAATAATTGGATATCTATTCGCTTTCTACTGCATAAAAATGATCGCAAGAAGAAAAACGGGATTAGTCAATGTCACTGTTACACGGGTAGCCCAGAACCTTTAAGGAGTTCTTCATAACGTAGGCCGTACGGAGTGCACCGATCACAGTCTTTGACGTTTGCCAATTTGGGCTTTGTCTGGAAAATACCCACGGCCCGCAGGTACAGGAGATTATAGTTTTGTGCGATTCACAGAAAACTGTACAGGGTTCCTGAGTCCTGAGGCCTCGTCTGTGACTGTAAGGGTCGTGATGGTCGTGAGATTGCACAGTGTACAAATATGGCATGTTATTTTAAAGTATATATTTGTATTCCATATCTGACAAAAAGTCATACATTTGTTTGCGTATTAAAACATATTTTTTTATTTTGGTCTTAAAACTATGATCCAGAATAATTTTAATGATGTTCAGATTGTAACTCTACAGGATAGTAGTGGCAAACATGCTTGT